AGCCAGCCACCACTGCTATTGTTCCCGGGCTGGATAACAACAGGAAAGACCTCTGGGCTTGGAAAAAGAGACCTGTCTTGGACTTGGATGACCCAGAGTTTCCCAGCTTGCTGGTGAATACAGCAACGTGCCCCTTGCTGCCACAGCCTGGAGTCACCCCCTGCCCCCAGGCCCCGGGAGCAGTGGGAAGCTGTGGGATGCTCTTTGGGGTGATGCCAGGAAAGGGATGGCAAAGCTTCCCCTTGCAGCACTCTGGGTGCTCCTGCAAGTGTTTCCCAGGCCTCCAGCCATCTCCTAGTGCTGTCGCCTTCAGGGACCAACCCTGCACCCACTTTCCTGGGGGGTGGGGTGCTCCAGGATCAGCAGGATGGGTTTGCAGCTGCCCTCTGCTCCAAAGGGCTTTTCCTGCCCATGCCAAGCTTTTCACCCTGCTGCTGCGCAGGGTGAGGGCAGGGCCGATCCCTCTCTTGCCACGGGGGAAACTGAGGCAGGAAAGGGCTTCCCACAGCCACCCACGGTGCTCCCTTGGTTTCCCCCACCAGCCTCCCTGGGGTTTGGCTTGTGGGGATCTGTCCTTTGGGATCGACCCAGGGACACCCCAGGGCAGCAAGTTCTGCCCGTGGGTCCCTCCACACCACCAACCCCCCACAGGAGGAGGGAGATGCACGTCTCCTTTTCCAGGAGGGACAGGAGGGACATGCACACCTCCTTTTCCAGGAGGGACACGCACGTCTCCTTTTCCATGCATATTTCAGTGCGAGCGTTTCTGAATATTTCCGGAGGAGGAGGGTGTGGAGTTTTCACAGGCAAATCAGGAAAACCCAGGTGAGGAGGGAGCCGGCGCTGTGGAAGGACGCAGCCCGTGCCGGGAGGGTGTTGGTCCAGGATCAGGAAGGCTGCTGCAGTTTCTCCTGGCTGGAGTTCTCTCAGGCAGAGTTTGGCCCGAAATGAGGATTTCCCACGCCCAACAGCAGCGGAGAAAGTTTCTCCTCCTCCAGAAATTACGGATTACCCCGAGCCCCATCCCTGCCGGTGCTGAGCATCTCACACCCAGGCCAGGGGAGGCCCAGAGAATAAATTGCTGCAGGCGCAGCCACGTCTGGGCAGCTGTTGTTTGCCAGAGGGAACTTCCCCCCCCCCCCCGGACTGCCGCATCCCACCTCAGCACTCGCAAACAAAACACTCCCAGCCCTGAGAAACCACGGCGGCTTCATCAGATACCCCTGAGACACCCACCCGTGGTTTGGGTGGCTCGGGGTGTATTTTTTCCCTTCTTCAAGCTGCTCGAGAAGGGTTTGTGTCGTCGACCATCCAGGCGGCCGCCCACGCGTACGGCCCTGGCACAATCGTCCCCGGGGGTGGGAGGCAGCTGACCTTTCAGGTCCCCACCAGCCACACTCTGTTTAGGGCTCTGTGACCTTACCAGCCCCAGCTCCACATCTACAGAGAATCCAAGGGCCTGGGGAGGAAAGTCTCCAGGGCCTGGTAAATCTGTGCCTCAGGCTTTGCGTCTGAGCATCCTTTGTAATTCAGGATGAGGTGACAATGATGGTCGTCATCATCATCATCATCGGTAATCCACCTCTCTCTTTGTGTAGGGGAGACACAACCAGTGAGCTCTAAAAGCCTGAAACCCACAGCAGAGCATTCCAGAGACACTTAAAGAGACGGTGATGAGCAAACCCTGATGACCCTCATCATCCCAGGCATCATTAAAGGCTCTGTCCAAGCTCAGCTCCCACCTCAAACCCACCAACAAGAGGAGGAACAGTCCCATCTGCCTCACCACGAGGCACAAAACCCAGGCTCCCCTCCCTGTAAGTGCATTTCCCCTGCCGTTAACTAGGTGAAAACCCCTGAGGAGTTCCCCTTTTCGAAGCCCCGGTGGTCTCTGGAGGGCTCAGGGCACATGAATCAGGGCCCGGTCACAAGACTGAGAGCGGTGAGAAGTCACCCGTCAGCTGACAGCACCCACAGGGACACAGTGGCAGATCCACGGGGCACCAGCAGGGTGTTGGCACAGGGAAGGGCACAGGGCTGCTCTGAGCATCCCACAGCCCCAAAGGCAGGACTGGGGTGGGAGCAGGGGGAGCTGGGGGCTCTCAGTTCCTCGCCGAGGGGAAGCTGCCAAAATTTGGGTGGGTGTCACGGGGATTGAACCAGGTGGGACAGCACTAAATAGTGTCAGGGCTTGTCACAACCCCTGCACAGGCAGTGGGGGAGAGCTGAGGTGAGGGGGCACAGGGGCAATGTGTGGTGTGGGACACTTGGATTTGGCACTGAGGAGGGGATGGCAGCATTTCATGGAGCTCTGGAATGCTTTGGGTGGGAAGGGAGCTTAAAAGTCATCCAGTTCCACCCCCTGCCATGAGCAGGGACACCTTCCACTGTGCTCCAAGCACTGTCCAACCTGGCCTTGGACACTTCCAGGGATGGGGCAGCCACAGCTTCTCTGGGCAACCTGTGCCAGGGCCTCCCCACCCTCACAGCCAAGGATTCCTTCCCAGTATCCCATCTAACCCTCCCTCTGGCAGTGGGAAGCCATTCCCTGTGTCCTGTCCCTCCATCCCTTGTCCCCAGTCCCTCTCCAGCTCTCCTGAGCCCCTTCAGGCCCTGGAAGGGGCTCTCAGGTCTCCCTGGATCCTTCTCTTCCCCAGGTGAACCCCCCCAGCTCTCCCAGCCTGGCTCCAGAGCAGAGGGGCTCCAGTCCTTGGATCATCTCCCTGGCCTCCTCTGGACTCATTCCAGCCATTCCACGTCCTTCTGATGCTGGACCCCAGAGCTGGAGGCAGCTCTGCAGGTGGGGTCCCCCCTGAGTGGAGCAGAAGAGGAGATCCACGCGCATGAAACCCCGTGGAATCACAGATGCCAGCGATGATAGGCACTCAAACAGCCGGATGGGGATGGGGCTCACGCGAGGCAGGTGTGTGGGGTGATGAAAATAAGTGAAACCTCTCAGCTGCAGACTCCGTCCAGCCCGAGCTGTAATTTAAAACCATCCAGAGCATCCCGGGTGAGTGCCTCTTTTTTCTTTCCCCTTCCTTTGGGTAAAGAACTCTGCTCGGGATGCTCCGACCATTAAGCTGAGCTGTAACTAAGCCAGTCCAACCCCCATGCGGCCGTTTTCGTGCCAGTCTAAGGCTGCCTTGGTTTATTTTGTCTTGGGGCCGTTCCCCATCAATTGGCATCAAACCACTGTTAGTAACTGAGCTGTCCCGCTCTCCCTGCCCGGGGTTAGCGGTGGGGCCGGGATTAGCCGTGGGGCCGGGTTTAACGGTGGGACCTCGTGACTCAGGAGCTTTAAACCCAGCTTAAACCCCGCCTGAGGGTGTGGGGTGTTATCACTGCACCCACAGCCCCAGCCACCCCGATCTGGCAGGGAACAGTTGCATTCCCAGCGGGAAGCAGGTACCACTCGTGTCGGGAGGGGGGGGACAGATGCGACTTCACGCTGCCGTGGCACCGTCACCCGTGGGGGACAAACACCCACCCGGGTCGGGGTGAGCCAAGTGTGGGACTGGCACTCATGGGGATGTTGGGTTTTCCAGCGCAGGGCGAGAAGCTGGGCCGGCCCCTGCTTGCTCCGGAGCAGGAATTCCCCACGGGACCCTCTCCCATGGGTGCCGAGCAAACCCACACCCCTCCACTACAAATCTAGAGGAACGGAGTGGTGATGGTGGTGCCGGACACCCCTGATGGTCGAGGAGGGGTGGTTCTGGTTTTTTTATTTTTGGGAGGGGGCTCTCCGCTCTGCCCCTCGTGGGGCTGCGCGGCCGCGGGAGCCGGACCCGCAGCATCCCCAGCGCGGCGGATGCGGGCGCGCTCCCGCCGCGGGAACGCGGTGATGGGGAAAGGCGCTGGGCGCACTTCGGGGAGCGAGAGGGATCGGCGGGATCCCCTCCTCACCCCCGCGGGCCGCGGCGGTGCCGCTCAGGGTGGGTGCGGGCGGCGCATCCCCCTCCGCGCCCCGCACCCGCCCCGCACCTCGGCAGCGCCGGGGGCGCCGGAACCGGCGGCCAAAGAAGGGAGCGGAGGCGGGGCCGGATCCAGGCCTTGTATGGCGCTTCCCCTCGGCCGCCCGCCCGCCGCCGCCCCGCTCTCCCCCCTCCCCGGTCCCCCCCCGCCCGCCGCCGCCGCGCTCCCCCCGGGCCGCGCCGGGCCACGGGCGGGGCGGGTGATGGGGAGGGTGGGGGGCTTGAGGCTATGGGGGGGGCGGGAGGGGGGCAAATGGGGGAGAGAGTGACAAAGAGGGGGTGTGAAAGAAGGAGAGTGCCCTGCAAAGGATGGGGGTGATAAGGGTGCAAGGCTCCGGGAGGGGTGGGGGGGTCTGTGCAGAGTTGGGGGCTTTGCGCGGGTTCTGCAGGGATAAGGGGGGTTCTGCAGGGATAGGGGGGCTCTGCGAAGGATAAGGGGGTTTTGCAAGGATAAGGGGGCTCTGCAAGGGTGGAGGGTTCTGCACAGGACGGGGGCGATCTGCACAGGATGGGGGGGCTCTGCGAAGGATGAAGGTTCTGAGCAGGGTGGGGGGCTCCGCAAGGATGGGGGGGTTCTGTGCAGGATGGGGGACTGTGCAAGGATAAGGGGGCATTCTGAGCAGGGTGGGGGGGGATCTGCAAGGATAGGGGGGGTTCTGCCCAGGGTGGGGGGGCGCTTCTTATGAAATCGGGGTCCGTCAATGGATGGGCGCCGCTGCAGTGGCTGGGGCTGCAGTGGCTGGGGGGCTGCAGGGAACGAGGGGCCCTGAAGAGGATGCGGGGGGCCTTGAAGTGGATGTGGGGGGCCCTGAAATGAATGGTGACCCTGAAGTTGATAGAGCACACAGGCCACTCCTCCCCCCGCACTCACAAACAAGCCAAGTCAGGGCTCGCTGCCCCCCGCTCCCGGTACACGCTCCCCCCGCCCTGCGCTCCGCAGCATCCCCCCACCCACCCGGGCACCGCGGAGCGACACACCCCGGGCCTGGCAGCACCTCCCCAGCCCCCTGGTGTGTCCGTCCCACTCTCCCCGCAGCGAGTGCCCGGTCCCCTCCCGCCGCAGCCCTCCCGTAGCCCGGATTTCACTCCCATGGCAAAGCCGGCCCTGCAGGAATTGGGTAAGTGGAGCTATTGCAACACAGCATTTTTCCATACATTTGCTATATAACTCGGAGGGTTTTAAAGATAGCATCAGTTGGCACACTTAGCACGAAACCACCTAATTACTGACGCCTTGGAAGTGCCAAACTTTTAAAGGGGGGAGGTGAGGTTAAAATCACAGGCGACCAACAAGTGTTACCTGTTTTTAAAGTATTCCAAGCGCTGCTCTCCACGGGAGTCGGGGCATGGGGAGGGGGCGGCTCGGGGCAGAGCCATCCCTTCTGTCACCACTGCCACCACAGCGAGGAGATGGAGGCTTCTGCAGCCCCCCCGCTGACCCTCTCCTTCCCACCAAACTCCACTGCCTGGCGCTGTGGTTTTCCACGCACAGCTGCCATCCCGTTTCTCTCCCATCCCGGGTTGCGGGATGGGGTTTGTGGCCGGTTCCCCCGCGCTCCTGGTCTCCAGTCGGGGAAAAAAAACCCTCCCGGTAAGAGCCTGGCTCTGAGCAGCCCCGGGGGCGGCCGCAGGGTCAAGCACGGCGGGGGCGGGCTGTCCCCGCGCCCCCGCTCCTTCCCGGGGGGAATGATCCGGGCAGGGAGGGGCTGGAGCCGCCGCCACCTGCCCTTCTTGAGGGTCTGGCATCTCTCAGTGAGGGAGTGTCAGTGCTGGGGCGGAGACCCCCGGCCCGGTGCAGTGTGCCCGGTATCCGGTGCAAGATGCCCGGTGCCTTTAGCAGGGTTCTCGGTGCCCAGTGCCCAGTGCAGAATGCCCGGTGCAGGATGCCTGATGCACGTCCGGTACCCGGGACTCGATGCCTAGCGCGGGATGCCCGGTGCCCGGTGCCCTGTGGAGGGTGCCTGGTGCTCGGTACCCCTTCCCGGTGCAGGATGCCCGATCCCCGGTGCCCGGTACCCCTCGCCCGGTGCGGGATGGCCGGTGCTTGGTGTAGGATGCTCGGTACCCTGTTCCCGGTGCCCCTTTCCCGGTGTAGGATGCCCCGTTCCCGGTTCCCCCTTCCCGGTGTAGGACGCCCCGTTCCCGGTTCCCCTTTCCCGGTGCAGGACGCCCGGTACCCGGAGCGTGATGCCCGGTGTCCGGTACCCCTTTCCCGGTGCAGGATGCCCCTTTCCCGGTGCAGGATGCCCGGCGCCCTGTCCCCCTTGCCCCAGTGGCAGGGTCCCCGGTGGTGCCCCCTTTGCCCTGTCCCCTTGTCCCCCCGTCCCCGCGCGCGCCGGTCGCCGCTTCCTGCTCTCTCTTTCTCTCTCCCTCTCTCTCTCCAAACGTTCCATTGTGCGGAGCTTCCATTGTGACGTCTCGGCCTCGGCTCGGCTTTGTCTGTCCATATATGGGCAGCTACGTCACGGAGCGCTCCCGCATAAAGGCCCCGCGGAGTCCCCGGCGGAGCAGTCGGGCGGCAGCGAAGGAACCGGGCGAGCGGAGCGGGGCCGAGCGCGGGGGGGAGCGGGGCCGGGAGCCGGCGACAGAGAGAGAGAGAGGAGGGGTTAAATCCTCCCCCCCACCCCCCCCCCAACCCCGCTTCTACAATCACATCTGCCAGCCAGATCGCCCCCCTCCCCCTCGAGGAAACACCACCAAGGGACCCCACGGAGGACCGCGCCCCCCCCGCGCCCCCTCCTCCGCGGCCACCCCCGGCCCCCCCGCCCCCCCACGCCTCCTCCTCCTCCTCCTCCTCCCCCCCGCCGCCCCCGCCCCAACTTTTTTTCTTGCATGATTTCCCTCGCACGGATTTGCCACTCGGATGTTGTTTCCTCGGGAGCTGAGCTCGGAGCCACGTTGAACCAGCCTTTTCCTCCAGTGCTATGACAGGCAAACTACTGGAGAAGCTGCCGGGGACCATGAACACTTTGATGAACCAATTGCCTGACAATCTGTACCCAGAGGAGATCCCCAACTCTTTGAATATCTTCTCCAGCACCAGCGACTCGGTGGCTCACTACAACCAGATGGCTGCAGGTAAAAGGGGAGGGGGGGGGGAAGGAAAATGGGGAGAAGCGGCGCAGCGAGGGGGGGTGTGTGGAAGCCGGTGGGGCGAGGAGGAGGATGCTGTGGGTAGGGTGTCATGGAGCCTCGGAGGGAAGGGAAGAGCTGGGGCTGGGGAGCGTCCCCCCCCCGCACCCACCCACCCCTTTTCCTCGCCGTGTTCTCCGCGCGATCGCTGCAGGGGCTCCGCCGAGCGCTGCCGCCGCCGAGCCGCCGCCGCAGGTACGGGCACGGCGGCCGGGGCTCCGTGGGGGAGGAGGACACGGGGGGAAAAGCCGGGGGGGAAAGGCCGGGGGGCACCCCCGTGTCGCGCAGAGGGGCCGCCCGCCCGCGCCGGGCTCCGCGCGGGTGCGGAGGCGCCGCGGACGCGCGTGGGGCCGTGGCGGCCGCCCCCCCACACACCCCGCAGCAGCGGCGGCGGCGGCAGCGTGGGCTCCCCGGGACGCGGCGACGACTTTCCCGGAGCGCGGGGTTGAGGGGGAAAAGGAGCGGGAGGTGGGGGGACAGGAGAAGGGAGGACCTGGGGGGCACAGGTGAGCGCCGAGGGCGGCGGGGGCGGGCGCTCCCCGCGTGTCCCCGCTCCCACGCGGAACCCCGCCAGGCTAAACCCCCCCCTGCCTCCATCATCCCCGTGTTTCTCCTCGCCGGGGCTCGGCGCAGGGAAGGCGGCGAGTCGGTAACGGCGGCGTCGGCGGCCGCAGCCCCGGCTCCGCGGAGTGCCCAGCGCTGCCGGGGCTGGACGGGGAGGAAGCCTACCTGTAGCCGCAGGTACCTCCTTCCCCCGGCGGGGCGGCGGTGGGGTGTCCCCCCCCACACACCCACCCAGGGCAGCTCCCCGCGGGGGCGGCGGGGGCGGCCCCGCATCGTCGGGACCCCCGGCAGGCAGCGCCGCATACGCGGGGTGGAAGCAGAGAGGGGAGCGGGGCCAGCGGGAACCGGCGCATCCCCGGCTCCCCAGAGCATCCCCCGGTGCGTCGCCGGTGCTCCCCCTCCCGGGCCCACCCGGCTCACCCTGCCCCGCTTCTCTCGCACTTTGCAGATAATGTTATGGACATTGGCTTAGCGAACGAAAAGGCCGGTCAGGAACTGTCCTCCTACTCGGGCACTTTTCAACCCGCCCCGGGCAACAAGACTGTCACCTACCTGGGGAAATTCGCTTTCGACTCGCCCTCCAACTGGTGCCAGGACAACATCATCAGCCTGATGAGCGCCGGCATCCTGGGGGTGCCGCCGTCCTCGGGCGCGCTCACCAGCACGCAGAGCTCGGCGGGCAGCATGGGGCCGCCGCAGGGCGAGGTGGACCAGATGTACCCCGCGCTGCCGCCCTACTCCTCCTGCAGTGACCTCTACCCAGAGCCCGTCTCCTTCCACGACCCCCAGAGCAACCCCGGCCTCACCTACTCCCCCCAGGATTACCAGGCGGCCAAGCCCGCCTTGGACAGCAACCTCTTCCCCATGATCCCAGACTATAACCTCTACCACCACCCCAACGACATGGGCACCATCACGGAGCACAAACCCTTCCAGAGCTTGGACCCCATCCGCGTCAACCCGCCCCCCATCACCCCGCTGGAGACCATCAAGGCCTTCAAGGACAAGCAGATCCACCCGGGTTTCGGGGGGCTGCCGCAGCCGCCCCTCACCCTCAAGCCCATCCGACCCCGCAAGTACCCCAACCGGCCCAGCAAGACGCCGCTCCACGAGCGGCCCCACGCCTGCCCCGCCGAGGGCTGCGACCGCCGCTTCTCCCGCTCCGACGAGCTCACCCGCCACCTCCGCATCCACACGGGCCACAAGCCCTTCCAGTGCCGCATCTGCATGCGGAGCTTCAGCCGCAGCGACCACCTCACCACCCACATCCGCACCCACACCGGCGAGAAGCCCTTCGCCTGCGAGTTCTGCGGCCGCAAGTTCGCCCGCTCCGACGAGCGCAAGCGGCACGCCAAGATCCACCTCAAGCAGAAGGAGAAGAAGGCCGAGAAGGGCTCGGGCGGGCAGCCCCCCGCCGCGCCCCCCGCCGCCGCTGCCGCCACCACCTCGCCCCCCGTCGCCCTCGCCCCCGCCGTCACCACGTGCGCTTGAGGGACCGTGGGGGGCGGCGCGGTGGCACCCCCTTCTCCTCCCCTTGCCCTCTCGGCGCCGCTCCGGGGGGAACCCCCGGAGTGTTCAGGATACCCCGGGGTTGTGCTGCGACGGGTCCGCGCCCGGATTGAGCGGGTCCAGGCTGCCCGCACCCGGATCCTGCCTGCACTTGGATCGACGGGACCCGCGCTGCCCGCACCCGGATTGCCCGGACTTGCGCTGCCCGCGCCGGGGCTGCCCGCACCACCTGGATCCCGGCTGCCTGCTCCCGCACCTCCCAGATCCCGGCTGCTTCCACCCGCACCGCCCGGGGCCGGGCCGCCCGCACTGCCTGGATCCCGGCCTCCTGCTCCCACAGCTCCCGGATCCCGGCTGCTCACACCCACCCACACTGCCCGGGGCCGGGCTGCCCACACCCGGCTCACCCGGATCCCTGCTGCCCGCACCCTCTTCCCGGATCCCTGCTCCCGCACCTGGATTACCTGAACCTCCCGGATCCCGGCTGGATTGCCCAGTCCCGGCTGTCCCGGCTCCAGCTCTCCCGCACCCCACCACCTGCACCCTGCTCCTCCCGGGGACACCCCGCCCGCACCCTCCCGGCCCAGCTCCGGGCTGCCCGGGCGGCAGATCCCGGGAATCCCGGCTAACCCACATCCCAGGGCTCGGTCCCGAGCTGCCCGCTCCCCCCGGGGGCTGGGTGCTCCAGGATCAACCCCCCACCACCACCTCCTCCCTGGTCCCGACCCGCCCGGCTCCTCCAGGGCTGGGGACTCCAGGATCCGTGTGGGGATGGATGGACGGACGGACGGACGGATGGACGGAAGGATGGATGGAAGGAGCCGATCCCTCACCGGGCCTGGAGCCCCCGTTGCCCCCCCCATGCCCGTGTCCCCCCCGTGCCCCCCAGGCACCGGCTCCCCGTGGTGGAGGTAAGAGGGCTCGGCCCCCCCAAGCCGGGCTGGCGGGCGGGGGGCGGCTCTGCGGGTCCCCCCAACTTCGGGGGTGTTGTCCCAGCAGCAGCTTTTGGGTTTGTTTTCTTATTTTTTTTTTT